TTTCAAATGTTCATATGAGAGTCCATTGGAACTTCTTGACAAGGGCTTCCAAAAGCATCCCTCTTTTGGGTTCCACCTCATTTTCCTTTTGTCTTCCAAGGATAGAATGATGGATTCAGGATTTGCTTTCAGGTATTTTGATAGCTGTTGGAATGGTTAGAATCACTGTCAGTTCCTTCTCAAAGGCTTTGAGATAACTGAGGGGTTGCTGAGGTGTTCAGTATTTCTCTTTATTGAATTGTATTTTCATATCTTGAATTGACTTGCATATTTCATTCAGCAGTTTCTGTTCTCCTGGAGTACATTCATGTCATCTTTGAATTCTTTGAATGTCTTTATAATCATTCTCTATGATCAGAATTTTAAGTCACTGTTACTGGGGTTCCTTCCCATGAGGTTGATAAATTTTGGAGGAGACATGTCATGGTTTTTCATGTTACTTTTGTTTTTGTGCTGGTTGGAGTTTTCTTGTTTTGGGGTGTTTTTGTTGTTTCTGTTTTTTCTAAGTCGCTAGTCTTCTTTTTCTGGTGGTTGGTCCAGCATTTTTCCCATTGTGGGATGTTGTGCTTCCTCTCACTCCTGGGATTGGCCTTCCTACCAGTTTGCTCAGGTAAGAGAGAACTAGTAGGCTCAGTAGGTTGGTTAAATTCAGCCAGTGTGTGTACTTCGTGCGCTAGCAGAGTGCTGGGTTCCACATCCTTGCTTTCCCTTATAATTTAAACCTTCTCTGGTCTGCATACCATCTCTTAGAGCCTGGGGTGCCCACTGGCTCACCCCGAAAGCCAGTCTGGGTCTCCCTATTCCTCCCATCACCATATAGTGCTTGAGCTCCCCTAGCCTGTGCCTACTATATATTCATAAGCCAAAATAATCTTTGTGCATCAATGATTTTTAAATTGACATCTGCAGAAATAAAGTGTACAGCTTTTTGCTTTTGAAACAATAGCTTACTGTGTAGCCCTGTCTGACCTAGAACCCTCAATCCTTTTCCCTCAGCTATCCAAGTTCTGGAATTATTGACATATATCACTAAGGCCCATTTAGTGCAACTTATTTAGTTTTATTTTAATTAATTGATTTATTTTTATTTTGTGTGTATTAGTGTTTTGCCTCTATATGTAAGTGGACCCGTGTCGTGCAATGCCTGAGGCCAGAAGGGGGTGTCAGATCCCCTGGAACTGGAGTCACAGATGAATGTTAGCCACCATGTGGGTGCTGGAAACCAAATGTAGGTCTTCTGCAAGAGCAGCTTGTGGCTGTGCTTGCTTGCTTCTCTCTCTCTCTCTCTCTCTCTCTCTCTCTCTCTCTCTTTCTTTCTTTCTGTATATTTTTAATTGAATTTTTCCTTATTTCATACACATCATCCTAATCACTTTTGTACCCCCTTTCCCATTGTCACCCTTCCATATCCCACCCCCAGGATTTCATGCATTCTGTCATTATGTTAAAGCCTATTGTCCCCAGACATCCCTCAGTGCAAGTTCATCCACTAGGGTCTAGAGTCACTCCCTTAAAGAAGATCAGCTCAGCTGGAGAGCTGGTGCAGCCCTTAAAGGCTCAGGCTCACAACCAAAAAGACAAGAAGATCAGCTCTTCCTCAGCCAGCAGTAATCAGCCGCCAATAGTTCTTCACTGATTGGGGCCTGCCAATTTCCACAGTTCTATGCTGGGTTTGTGTCTGGTTGAGTTTGCATGGGTCTTGTGCATGCTGACACCATTGCTGTAGGTTCGTATGAAAAGAGTAAGACTATTTCCATATAGTCATGCAGTCTGTGCTTTTAACTACTGAGCCATCTCTCCAGCCCCTAGCACAACTTATTTTAATATAAAAAACATTGTATAACATTTCCATTCCCCTAAATACACTCACATTTGTAATCTCTCAGTTGGTCCTTCCAGCAGCCTCAAAGAATGCCAGGAGCAAACTGTCTTTAAAACTTCCTTAACATGCCGGGTGTGGTGGTGCCTGCCTTTAGTCCCAGCACTCAAACACACACACACACACACACACACGATTCAAAAATACTGAAAATAAGGGGCTGGAGAGATGGCTCAAATTCCAGCACCCACATGGGGGCTAATAACTGTCCATAACTTCAGTTCTAGGGGATCTGATGCCCTCTTCTGACCTCTTTGAGCACTGCACAACATGGGTGTACTTACACAGGCAGGCATAACATTCATATACATAAAATAAAATAAAAAAATTAAAAATACTAAAAATAAACTTTAAAAAATATAAACAACATACATATGTGTTGTATTAATAAAATAATATTATGGGGCTGGAGAGATGGCTCAGTGGTTAAGATTACTGGCTGCTCTTGCAGAGGACCCGGGTTTGATTCCCAGTACCCATAGGGCTACTAAAACCTGTCGATAACTACAGTTCCAGGGAGTCAGATGTCCTCTTCTGACCTCTGAGGGTAATGCATGACACAGTTCACTTACACACGTCCAGGCAATATACTCATACACATAAAAAAACAAAAAAAACAATATTTATGACTGAAAAACTACTTTTTTCCTTTGGTTCTCTCTCTCTCTCTCTCTCTCTCTCTCTCTCTCTCTCTCTCCCTCCTCCCCATGGAAATAAAAGCAACATGACTGAAGAACGAATCTAAAAGAGACATCATCCCACTACCAAGAGTTAATTGTATCTGACAAATATACATATCTTTCAGTAAAAGCACCCAAGGGTGAGTGGAGAGTAAGTTTTTCATCTAGCAGTCTCTATCAACTCTTTCAGAAACATCTGAAATTTACGGGAGTCTGAAAGACAGGCTGATTACTCACATCTCCCATGTAAAGACAGAGATAGTATACATTTTGTCCTGTATACGTGTATCTCAGGTTCCTTGCACATAAGAGGGGCTAGTATTTGTTGACAGCTACATTCTTCTGGAGTCTCTAAGGGCAGGCAGAGGCAGGTGGATCTCTGTGAGTTCAAGGCCAGCCTGATCTACATAGTGAGTTCCAGGACAGCTGGGGCTACAGGGAGACCCTGTCTCAAAAAGACCAAAAAAAAAAACCAAAAAACAAAAAACAAAAAACAAAAAATACCAACCAAACAAAAAAACTTCCTTAACGTTCAGAGATTTAATTAATTTTCTAGTGTTTAGGATTTTCTAGCATCAGGCCTCTAATTTATTCATGTCCTCCTCCCTCTTCCTCTCCCTCCTCCTTCGTCCTCATTTTTCTTCCTCCTTTTTGCTCCTCATCTTCATTCTCTTTCTTCCTCTGCTTCCTTCTTTTTTGATTCCTCATTCTTTCTTTTCCCTCCTTTTCCTTCCTTCCTTCTTCTGCCTCATTACCCTCTCTTTTCCCTTCTCCCCTCCCCTTCCTATGTAGGCCAGGCTGCCCCCGAATTTGCATTCTTCCCTATTAACAGGATTATAGGCAAGCTATCACACCCAGCTGTTTGCTCTTGTGTGTAAAATAACACATGGTTTTGATATTTGCTAAATATTCTTTTACTTTTTAGTAATGTTAAGGTTAGAGAATGATCTTGAAGGAGGGTCTCCATAAATAACTTACTCTCTATAAGCTTGTTTGTTCTTTTACAAGAAAGTGATAAAATAATAATAGTGCATTATTATTATTTGCTGGTATAGAGAAAAAAAGCACATGTATGCTATGGGGCTGGATGAATTAAAACTATTCAAATAGCTGCTTTGTTACATTGAAATGCTTCCCTAAGGTTTATGAGTATATGATATGATTTTTGTTTTTTCTCCCAGGTACAATAAAAATTTAGAAGAAGCTAAAAGTGTTGGGATAAAGAAAGCCATCACAGCCAGTATTTCTGTAGGTGCGGCGTACCTACTGGTCTACGCATCGTACGCTCTGGCATTCTGGTACGGGACCTCTTTGGTCTTTTCAAATGAATATTCTATTGGACAAGTGCTCACTGTAAGTAATATGTGTTATAAAATGAACTGTTGAAAATGCCAATGAAATTGAATCGTTTTGGCTTGACCTTAGAAGAATGTGTTTTGAACAACTATTGAGTACTACAAAGAAGCATTCATTGCTAGGTTAAAAAGTGGAAAGAAAACTAGATAAATCCAAAAGTCAACTGTGTTGTCTTTCTTGTAGATCCTGCAAGTTTGCTCTGTAGCCTTGATAAGGTGAACATTAGCACTGACATTTGATGAGACTGCTTTTGAAAAACTTGTTGCTAAGTGCTTCTCTTTGATTTTCTGATTTACTATCCACAAAAGTAATGGTAAAAATCTTCTTTGAATGGCAACTGATGTACCTCACAATTGTGGAAATATAAATTGCTTTTCAAAAAAGAATTCTATTTAGAGGTTTTCTGTTCATAGAACTATGTACAAGTACAGAGGGCTTAACTTTTGATATTGCTTGATATTGCTTTCTTTGATTTGAAGACAATGATATAATTTGCAGTCCAAGCACAATCTCTATTCTATTAGAAGATGTACTCTGGTTGTTTGTTTGCTTTCCTTAGCCAAGCAGAAGCATATTAAGTTTGTCTTAGGCACCTTTTGTTGAACCACTTAATGTAATCCCCCCACCCATTTTTGATAGCTTTATTATGTAGCCCAGGCTAGCCTCAAACTTGTGATCTTCCTACCTCAGTTTTTGAGTTTGGAAATTAAAGGTGTACAACACGTGTTTGGCAAACAAGTCTCTTTCTCAAGATTCAAATTTGTAATATAGATGTAATAATTCCCTTTGTTTTTTTCAAGTGTTGCCTTATTTAACACAATTTTGAAGCCATTTGGTTGTGAATAGGTTTTACCTAAAAAGGTTTTATTTTGTTTGTTTTTTTAAGATAGATTTTGAGTACTAATTTTGGGGTGGGGTTTGGTCTTTTTGTCCCCTACCTCAGGTTTTCTTTTCTATATTAATGGGGACTTTTAGTATTGGACATACATCTCCACATATTGAAGCCTTTGCCAGTGCAAGGGGAGCAGCCTATGAAATCTTCAGTATAATTGATAATGTAAGTCTGAACTGGCCATTTATTCATCTGATAAAAAACTTTTCTGATTGAGTCAGTTTCATGACCACTTTACCCCTCCACAGAGTATCACTACAAAGTAGTTTCTGTAGACTAGTGATTTCCTATTTTTCTTCTTAGGAGCCAAACATTGACAGCTTCTCCACAAAGGGACACAAACCCGACAACGTGAAGGGAAATTTAGAATTTAGAAATGTTCACTTCAGCTACCCATCTCGGAAGGATGTTCAGGTATAGTGTTAAATGATAAATCAGTGATGAAACAGTCTGTTGGGTAAAGTTTCATTTAGAAATTTTGAAAAAATAGCAAAAATAACAGACATATTTAATCCTAGTACTGAATCGAGATCTTGAAGGGCCTCAATCTCAAGGTGCAGAGCGGGCAGACAGTGGCCCTGGTTGGGAGCAGTGGCTGTGGGAAAAGCACCACCGTCCAGCTGCTGCAGAGGCTTTACGACCCCACAGAGGGCGTGGTGAGTAGACATGCAGCCGACAGCAGACCCACTGCCCATCATTCCGACTGTGATTCCAAAGTATGAAAACCACACTGATGTTCTACGGCAGGTCAGTATCGACGGGCAGGACATTCGGACCATAAATGTGAGGTATCTGCGGGAAATCATCGGTGTGGTGAGTCAGGAACCTGTGTTGTTTGCAACCACGATCGCAGAAAACATTCGCTATGGACGAGAAAATGTCACTGTGGAGGAGATTGAGAAAGCTGTCAAGGAAGCCAACGCTTATGACTTTATCATGAAACTGCCTCATGTGAGTTGTTCCTGACCTCTGCCTGTCAAAGCTTAGAGCATAGAGCTCTGACCTAATGCAGTCCATGGGAACTTAGGAAACTCCTCAAGGTGGAAGAACTTCCTCAGAAGAGAAATCAAATTACTGTGGATTTAAAGCTCTAGCCCTATCAGCTAGTGGCAGATACATATTTTAAAGAACTGGACTGTGTTGCTTGTGAGGCACAAGTGGTTGATGGGATTACATCCCAATGTGAAATATGAACTGAAGTCACTTACTGCTTCACTAAATCTTCCTTTTTTCTTCTGTTGTAGAAATTTGACACCTTGGTTGGAGAAAGAGGGGCCCAGCTGAGTGGTGGGCAGAAACAGAGAATCGCTATTGCCCGTGCCCTGGTTCGCAACCCCAAGATCCTCTTGCTGGATGAGGCCACGTCAGCCTTGGACACAGAAAGTGAAGCGGTGGTTCAGGCTGCTCTGGATAAGGTCTGTGAGCTGTGCTTACAAAGGTCTCATTTATAAGAAAAACAATGTAATGTTATTTTTCTTTCTTTTGTATATGTGTATGTACATGGGTACACTTGAATATGTATGCATATGTGTGTGGGTTGTCTACTTCAGTTGATCTCCATCTTATTTTATGAGACAGGGTCTCACTGAACCTGGGGCTCACAGATTCATCTAGACTGGCTGGCCAATGAGTTCCAGTGGTCGACCTGTCTCTGTGCCCTGGTCCTGGGGTTATAGATGCATGTTCTGCATCAGGCTGTTGATTTTTATTAATCTTGGCCATCGAAGAGATATCTGATAGTTCCTAGGTAATTCTTTAGGACCTAACAAAAAAGCATCAGGCTTCCTAAGTATTCTTTTTATTTGTTTGTTCGGTTTCTTTTTTATCTTTTTTCAAGTGGTTATGAGTAAATGTCATCTGAAGACATTTGTAAATCATAAATTAGACACAGAAATTCAGACGCAAATAGAAAATTGGCCTTCATTGTGATCTTGAAAACTTAGCCCAGAGATAGCTTTGTTACTCAAATTTTGAGAATTTGTAATCTTGTCCAAAAGGGGAAAACAATCTGAAACATTTAATTGTAAAGAGGCAAATACCACTTTAAAGCATGGAGAGTAAGAAAGCTCTCTGTCTGAGCCCTGAAATGCCCTTGATTATGACTAGAGTTTAACCTTTCTAGAATTCTTGAGTGTCTAAGACTTAGCAAATAGGATCTAACTTCCAGCTCTGTGCAGTTACCCTGTGCTTGGTCTTAGAGAGAGAGAGAGAGAGAGAGAGAGAGAGAGAGAGAGAGAGAGAGAGTTGAGCAGACAGGCACCACAAGGAATGTACAGACTTTATATGCAAAGGTGTTTGGGGTTGAGTTATCCCAGTAGATACCAAAGATGAACTCCTTTTATCCAACTCTTTTCTCTAATGAAAAGGCACTGTGCTTTCCTGTGAACATCCTGTCAACATCTGTAGTAGACTGTTGTAGCAGACAAAATCAACTTACCAAACGTCTCTGAACTGAAATCAAAGCAGAATTACAGCTGCTTTTTTTTTCCTCGTGACTTTTCTTATTTGCAATTTCACCTCTGTGTCTTCTTATTCTACAATAGAGCTATATCAGATTCTTAGTAGAAACAACTTTACAAGGTTTTATTTATTTTTTTTTATTTTAAGAGGGAGTTTTACATTTCCTTTTCCCAAAATATAAAGATTAGTCCCTATTTTCTTTCCTTTCTGCTATTACCACTCAAGGCCTCTCATTTGGATTTGGTTTTTAGGTTGTTCGACTTCTGATTTTTTACCTTGACTCTGATATTGTTGTGTCTGAATTTTTTATTTTATTTTGTTCCTTGAGGGAAAAAAATGTAAAATGAGAAAAATTTATGTATTAGGAAGTTCTACAAGTTAAAGAAATTTCAGGCAATCCTGATTGTGTTTCTCTTGATGATATTAAAATAAACATTAGATTGAGCATTTAAAAACATTTACCTGGCTCTTGACTTTTTTTCAAAATGCATGTAACCAAGGAACAAATGCCTTTCATCAAGTACTTTTTTTTCTGTTTCCTTTTTAAACATGTTATGATTATTTTCATTTTCCTCTGTTTTTTGATATAGCATCTTGCAGTGTAGCCCAGGCTGCCACTTCCCTCCCAAACACGTGATCTTCTTGCCTCAGCCTCCCAAGTGTTTGGCTTACAGATGTGAGCCATTATGCTAGCCTACTAAATACTTTTCTAGTGCAAGATACATGTTCAGTTCCCCATTATTTAGGCATTACACCTATTCTAAGAGGTAAGTACTATTATTATCCTAACTTTACATATGAATAAATCAAGCCTCATGGAACTTGTGACTTGGATAAATTCCTGGAATTCATAAATGACAAAACCTAGATTGAATTTCAGGTCAACGTGACACTGAAATCTACATTTGCTTCCTTATGTTTGTGTGCGTGTGTCCTGATCATCCAGGTGGTCTTATGAGATATAGAATGTTCAGATTTGTAGGCCTTACCACTAGCTGTGTATGTCTTGATTGTTAAGTGCCTGAATTTTGTTTCTTTTTATAAACTCCTGAAAATTACTATAAATTTAGGCTGATAGACACCAGAAGAATATATTAGTATGTAAATGTTTTACTAATGTTTGTTTATTATAATCAACTATCAGTTGAGCATATATTTAGTAAAAATCACAGACTGTATTCTGTAGCTTTCATGATTTTATAATTATCCAAAGCACTGGTATTCAGTAAACATAAGTTGAATGATTTTTCACCTGTAATTATTCATGTATCAAAAGCCAGATTCCTCTCTCCAGGCTCGAGAAGGCCGGACCACCATCGTGGTAGCTCATCGATTGTCTACAATTCATAATGCTGATGTCATTGCCGGGTTGGAGGATGGCATCATTGTGGAGAAAGGAAATCATGATGAACTCATGAAAAAGAAAGGCATTTATTTCAAACTTGTCACAACGCAGGTGCAGTGGCGCTCTAGAATTTCCTACGTAATCTCAGTAGTAATATAATATTGCTGTGTTTAATGCTATAGATACATTTAATTTGATTTATCATGAAAAGTAGGAAAAGGTGCTTTGGCTAGTCAGGATTGGCTAGTGTTTTATATTATTTTTTTCTTAAAATGAGAGAAACTAGAAAATAAACAGTTTAAAGGCAAACTGCTGTGGTAGCTACTAATTACACATGGCTACTGAGCCTTTAAAGGGTGGTTAATCTACATTGAAAAATTTTAAAATATTTTTGTTTTATGTGCATGAGTGTTTTGCCTGCATGTATCTAAGTGTATCTGTGCATGAAATGCCCAAGGAGGCCAGAAGAGGGTGTGGATCCCCTGGATGAATGTTATCTGCCACGTCGTGGGTACTAGGAACTGAACCAGGTCCTTGAAGGGCAGTTAGTGCTCTTAACCATTGAACCATCTCTCTAGCCCTGAATTGAAATGTCTTTAAGTACAAAATGCACACTGGATTCTGAACACTGAGTAAACAAAGAAAAAAAGCAAAACAGCTCAATAGTTTTTTTGTATTGGTACATGTTGAATGTAATATGTTAGATAACAATAATGCCCTGATTCATTATGTTAAATATATAATTAAAATTGATTTCATACTTTTCACATTTTTTATTGTGACATAATTTTTTAAGAGTCCATATGTATAGATAAAGGCTACATAACAAGAAACAATGCCAGACAGGAGATACCTTTCTTTGAGTTGTTGGCCAGGGTAGCCCAAGAGACTCCCAGATAGTAACCCAGCATAGAACTGGAAAAATGAGCAGCAGACCCCAATCTTATCTAAAGGAATATTGACAACTGATTGCTGCTAGATGAGGAAGAGCTGATCTTCCTAAAACAAGGAACTCTAGATAGGCTGACTAGATTTAGCGGATAGACAAGCACTGGGAAATGGCTGGGGGCACTGACAACACAGTGGACAGTAACAGGGATGACAGAGTATATGGGCTCCAGTTGAGGGGGTAGGACTATGGGAGGGTGCCATTTGGGAAGTGGGTATATAGATGAATAAGATTGTTTGGGATGTTCTTCATGATATACACACACAAAATCAACAAATAAAAAAATGAGGTATAGTTCAGGAGGAAGCATAAAAATTTACTTCATGGAATAAAGAGGTGATAAACATTACCATTGAAATCTACCTGATGACTTTATATCCACACTCAGGTGCCAAGAATCCAAGTGTAACCGACTGTGACGTCTAGGAAATTTTAAATGACAAATGAGACTCATCTTATGGCATGTACCACATTGCCATTGATAGGCTTGGTCCAAAGCAAATTTGATTGAGTGCCCCAGAAGGGGGATGACTACATGAAAGCCAGCAGGTCCATTGGCAGTTTGTTTCATTAGCAGTTTACTTGCAAATATATTACATTAGAAAGCCTAGCAGTTTAACTTCATCTTTTCCTATAACAACGCTAAACAAATCATAACTTTCCTTGATACTGATGCTCAGTAATTAATTTCCATGATTAATGGTACCTAACCAGCTTCTGTATATTTATTTATTTATTTTAGACCAGAGGAAATGAAATGGAGCTAGAAAATGAAGCTGATGAATCCAAAACCACCACTCATGCCTTTGAATTATCTTCAGAAAATTCAGGATCTCTTGTAATAAGAAAATCAGATTGCAAAAGTATCCATGGACCAGAAGGTCAAGAGATAAGACTTAGCACAAAAGAGGCTCTGGTATGGAAGAGGTTGTAGTTTTGTGTTCTAAACCTTAACCCCTTCCCTCGTGTGGCTCTCCAAGTTGGGTGAGCTGGAGCTGGAGTAGGAAGAAAAACAAGATATAACTATCTAGAATTGTTCTGTCCTGTTCTGTAGCATGTTCCTGAAACTAAAATCAAAATACTTTATAGTCAGTTTAGAATTTAAGAATAATTAATACAAATATTTAAACATTTATTTTTATTTTATGAGTGTTTTACCTGCATGTATATAGGTGCATCATATGCATGCAATGACCATGGAGATCAGAAGAGAGTGTTAGATCCCCTAGAATTGGAGTTATGGACAATTGTTAGTTGCCATATAGATTCTGGGAACTGAACCCGAATCTGGGTCTTCTTTCTGCAAGAACAGCCAGTGTTCTTAACCTTAGCTATGCCATCTCGCTAGCCTTGAAAGATTTTTTTATTTAAATTTTGAGTTTATGTAAAGAAACTTTAGTGATCTGTATCTGTTAATTTCCTAGTTGCTTTGACAAAACATCTGACCAAAGCAATTTAAGGACGGAAGGATTTCTTTGTTCACAGTTTGAGGGTACAGTTTATCATGGAAGGAGGAACTTAAGACAGCTGGTCACATTGATCCATAGTCTAGAAGCAAAGAGTGGTAATGCTCCCTTTCTGCTTTTTATTCAGTCACAAGCTTCTCACATCAGTTAACCTGATCTTAACCTAAATAACCCCTCACTATCATGCCCAGAGGCTTATCCCCTAGGCGATTCTAGATTCTGTCAGCTTTACAACATTAACCATCATAGACTCTAAATCAGGAATGTGGACAAAAATCTTAAGAAATTAATAAAACGTGGTTTGTTTTCTTGGTGCTAGGGCCTTTACGGTGTAGTTGGGCACTTTACTACCAGGCTATATCACTTGCTTTTTTTTTTTTTTAAAGATGGGGATCTCACTATGTAGCCTTGGCTGGCTTCAAACTCACAGGGATTCACTTGGGAGACCTTCCAAGTGCTGGGATTAAAGGCCTGTGCAGCCATGCCAGGCATCTTGCCCCTCATTAATTTCTCTTACAGCTGGTAAAACATAGTCCTTCCCTGTATGCCATTGTAGCCTTAACATACATAAAGATTTGGACAGTTGGATTGAGCTATAATCCAGCCATAATATTTTGAAATTAATATATAGCCTACAAGGATTACATTTATGAGTCTGAAGCTTATATTCTTTATAACCTCAGATGTCAGTAACATCAGAATTATGTGTGAGAGCAGTTTAATAATTTTTTAAAAGAGGGACTATGGTGGGACTGCCAATATCAAATTTTCTATTCTGTTTATTTCTAATTGTAAATATCCTTTTCTTCTGAATTTCAGCTCAAGAGTTTAATGTTGTTTGCAGCATTATTTATTTCCTAAAAAATGAAGCTGTCAGTATTTTTTTTGAAGTGAAATAGCTGTCAAGCAATAAAGAATCATAAGTTATATTCCTTAGTGATATGCATATGGAAGGAGCATCATGAATTCAATTACCCATTTGTCATTTATTTTATTTTATGTATATGAGTGTTATGTCTGCATGTATGTAAGTGCACCCATGTCATGCAGTACCCACAGAGGACAGAAGAGGGCATAAAATTCCCTGGAATTGGAGTTATGGATGGTTGTTAGCCACCCTGTGGGCACTGTGATTCAAACCCTTGTCCTCTGCAAGAGCAGCCAGTATTCTTAACCTCTGAGCCATGTCTCCAGCCCCTGAATTACCAGTTTTTTAAACTAGCTTGCAATTTTATGTTTTCTAGGATGAAGTTGTATCTTCAGTTTCCTTTTGGAGGATCCTAAAACTGAATTTAACTGAATGGCCTTATTTAGTGATTGGGGTATTTTGTGCTGCTATCAATGGATGCATTCAGCCAGTATTTGCCATAGTATTTTCAAGGATTGTAGGGGTAAGTGGTTATAGTCATTATTTAGTTTTTATTTGTGTTTACCAATGAAGAGTGAATGAATTGCTTGTACCATTGGCCATAAATCACAAAGTTTGTCTCATGGAATGGAGCCAGCTGGCTTAAAGATGGAAGAATGCAAGTCTGGTTTATAAGCAGAAAGCTAATTTTATCAGCTATCCTTTGTCCTCATTTTTTGTTTGTTTGTTTTTCTTTTTCTTTTAAAATTTTTGGGTTTGTTTGGCTTTTTGGTGTTGTTGTGACAAGGCCTCCAGGTGTAGCCCAGCCTGGTTTTGAGTTGGTGATCCTCCTTCCTCAGTCTCTCAGGTACTGGGATGATAGGCATGTGCTACCGTGCTTGACTCTTTTTGCTAGTTTCTATCCAGATCCCTGAATTTTATCCTAGAGCCTTGGAACCAGCTCCCTGAAATAGTCAGTGAAACCAGACAAGTTGTTTTCCACACCTGCCACTATTGGGCTCTAAGCCAATGTGTGCATATGGAGGCTACAGGTCGACATCAATGTCTTCCACTATGATGTGCCACTGATTGTCTAGATTAGCTAGCCAATGAACTCTGGGGATCCTTCTGTCTCTGCCCTACCAAGAACTAGGGTTCCACACACACATGACCACACCTAGTTTTTTATTTGGAGGCTGGAGACCCAGCTCAGGTCTTCATGTTTATGTGGCAGTCATTTTACCAACAGAGCTATCTCCCATGCCTAACTTTTGATTTTATCACAAAACTTATCACACACTTGGCTATTTGAGTCCATTCATGCCTGACTAGCTCATTTCACATTGATATTCCTATTTATTCACTCAACAAATAAATTTTCAGGGTCTGTCCTGTGCTAGGGACTTTTCTAAAATAGTACTGAGGAAATAATGCCCAATTCCATGGGACATATGTGGTAAAACAAAGGCCCCTAAACTTTTCTATTAAGTGAAAATTGAGTAAATATTTTAGATTTTGCAGGACATAGGGTTTTGGTTGGAAATAATTCAGCTCTGCCCATAGATATCAGACATGCACAGTATGGAAACAAGAACATGACTTTAGTTCACTAACACTATAAAAACATTTGGACCGTAGCCCTTAGCTTACTGTTCTTTCTTCTAATGCATGTCTTAAAGTCAGGGAGGTAGACAGTAATGTCATCAAAGGAAAAAAAAACTGAATCAAGTAAGTTGGGAATGGACTTAGCTGCTTTAAAAAACAATTCAATCTCATGTAACAGGAAGTCTACATGTGATCCAGGGTTGGCACAGTAGATCCTAGGTCCTGGTGGGCAAGAGGCCCTCTGCCTCATTGCAAACAGTGGGCTCTGGGTCAGATGGCTTGAGTTTGTGTCCTTGGGTCATCCCTGTGTGGCTCCCTCAAATGGGTTTAGTATATGCCTCTGTTTCTCATTCTCTCTATAAAATGGTGAAAGTATGAAAGCAAACTTGGACATACGAATGTGAGGATGAAAGGATTAGCACACATGAATCCACATTCAGATACCTGGCACTGAAAGGGAACTTGGTGATTGTTAGCCATTATTTTAGTGACGAATAATTGAATTAATGTCTTCTGAAAATCTTTTTTTCCAAAGCATAAAGTTTTCTGGGTTGGGTTAGGAGTGCATCTTATAAGACTGGTTCAGCCCTTGTGGGGAGAAGTGTGTTTTCTTTCCCTGTGGAGTGGTTATTCTGTCTGTTCCTTCAGCCCCAAACATCCTTTTTGCACTCTAATCGTCTCTGGAAAGGCTTCCCTATCTAGTTGTCAGTCAGGTGGGTATAGCTGCTACCTGGCTTTCTAAGCATTCCTCCTAACAGAAATGATGACTGAGGAACCTTTCTTTCTGAAAAGCTGAATGAAATATGCTTCCTCAGGTCATCTGGTACACAGCAAGAGATTCTCTCCAGACAGCTTAGAATACTTTGAAATGTCCGTCATGAAACAGTGGTTGTCACACAATACAGTTCCCTACCAAGGATTCCACAAGGAGGGGATTTGTTCACATTTTTTACATGGTAGGGTGACACACATTATTCTACAGGAAAGCCTGAGACCCCCTCTTATCTCTAAGGACAGCAAAATGCAAATGGCTTGAAGGGTAAAAATATTCCCGAAGCTAAACCTGTTCAGCTTACAGCCTCTCCTGTTCTCCAAACTGTATGAGATGGCGAGTGGGTTAGATGCAGAAAGCCTTCCTCAGTGACAGAACAAATGACCCTTCAAATATCTTCCCACAGGTTTTTACAAGAAATGATGATACTGAAACCAAACGACAAAATTGTAACTTCTTTTCACTATTATTTCTGGTTTCTGGAATTGTTTGTTTTATTACATATTTTCTTCAGGTAAGTGTCTGCATTATTTCTTGATTCACCTCAGCAGAATTTGCAAACATCATGAGAAAAGGCAGTGAGTTTGGTGGGGGACAGGAGCTCAGACTCAGACTCAAGGGCCAGGGCTTTTGTACGCCTTGATTCATTCAGACTCCAGCTCTGCCACTGTTGAACTGTTGCCTCTGGAGATTTGTCAGCTACTCTAAAGCCCAGTTTCTTCTGAAGGTTTTAGGGTTGCCATGTGACTTGATGAGGTCATGTCTGTAACCCACACTGTCAGAGTAGGTAGCGCTCAATAAAAATAATAATAATAATTTTCCCTGTAGGTAGGTATTGGCTCACTTATTCTAGCCAAGGCAAAGCAAGAAAGGCCTTTTGCATGCCATTTCATCCAACAGCAGAAACTTTGCTGTGATATTTCCATGTGAACTCAAGTACTAGAAGTTTTGGGCTTAAGCTCATCTAGGATTTCCCCTTCTCCTCTACCTCCCTGTACACACAGAATATCTCAGCAGAAGGTTCTGTAACACTGAGTGAAGAGCTATGGTCTATAAGACATTGTGTGCCAGCTTTATACTGGCCATCTGTGGAGTTTATAATCCCATCTGGCCTTTCGTTTACATGATCCCCATTTTCCTGAGCACCTGAAAGAGTTGGCTTGGTCTTGGCTCATGCCCTCTGTATGTGCCTCCTCTTTCAATAGCACCCAATATGTTACTTGGGAGGCTGATGGATGTATTACTGCCCTCTTCTATTTCTCTGACACTGCAGGAGCTGTGGGGCTGGTATAAGGGCCTTTTTCACACTGCTCTCCATGTCTCATCTGTAGGCTGCCACTCCCCAATTTCAGGGAAAAGGGAAACAGTGCTTCTCTCGTGTCATGTTTCCCCAGCCTCATTGGAGTGAAGACTTTTTTGTCTTTCTTCCCAGATGTGGCCTAACATGCCAGCATACTCACAGCTTGCTATTCTTTCTTCATTACTGTTCCCTCCTGCTAGACACAGAAGAGTATAGCCTTAAAGGATGGGGACATAGAGTGCAAAAGGTTTTCTCTTGGTGAGCCATTTTCTTCATCCTGTTTTGCTCCAAACTTTGGCTTTTTCAGTTTGAAAATTAAAAATTGATAACTTTGAGCTAGGCGTGGTGGTGCATGCCTTTAACCCCAGCACTCAGGAGGCAGAGGCAGGCAGATCTCTGAGTTCAAGGTCAGCCTGGTCTACATAGTGAGTTCCAGGACAGCTGGGGCTACAGGGACACCCTGTCTCAAAAAGACCGAAAAAAAATGATAACTTTGGTTTTTGTATCCTTTATGCATGGAGGACTATAAATTCTTTTTTATGAGATTTCACCTTAGATTCTTATGCAGTTATTAACAGCACCTGTTTTCTCTCTCACAAATGTTCCAATTAATAATTAATGAGGACAGCCTGTTTGGAGTACCTCCTGCTTTAGGAAAAATACCTGCTTCCTGAGTGATTTCTGTTGTTCACTGGAGAAATAAGTTGGGCTGAGAGTGGGAGGCAGGCAAAGAAACATATTTTGTAATAAACCTCTGGTCACTCTGCCAACTAACTGGGAACCACAGGGTCAGGTTTAAAACTGTCCTCTTCTAGTCCCATCACTACTGCAGCTATGCAGCTTGCACCATAGTGTATAGTCACAGCAATGCAGTAAACCCTAGGAACCAAGACTTTGTGACTTCATCAAGATCCTGCCTTAGCCATGACATTGACCCCCCCATCCTGTTGTGTAACTGGTGTCTGAGTCTCTCATGAGTCTTTGTGTGACATGTTCTCATTCTTCACAGGGGTTCACATTTGGCAAAGCTGGAGAGATCCTCACCAAGCGGCTCCGATATATGGTTTTCAAATCCATGCTGAGACAGGTATGCACCCTGGGACAAGGAGGATTTCCCTCTTGTGCTCTGTGGACCCAGGTTGTGGGAGCTCTATCAGGTTACTCAGATTGAGTTCCCATGTTGGTCATCCCACAGCCTCATGCTGAGGTGCTGGTGACCCATCCACAGGTTCAGGCTGAGGGCCTACAGTCCATTTGGAACCAGATTGCTTTAAGACAAATGAAGTAAATGGTCCACCAGTCTTTTTGTCCAGCACTGAGACATGAAAGCTGAAGTAATCTTCGGTGCTCTCCATTTCCACTTTTCCTTCTTTCTGTTGTGAACCTGGGATATCCTGTCACGATTCCACCAGAAGATACCCTCTAAACCTTTCATTCCACATCCAAATTCATCATCATGGCCCATTCCTCTCTGCCTGATTTCTTTGCTCAGACCCACACTGCAGTGTTGTTAGTTTATAGTGACTCGCTAGAATAGAGTGCAGCTCCCATTTTGCACCTTCAACACCCTCACAACAGTGTGATTCTTTTCCTTACAAAGAAGAAGTGGGATTTGGAAAAGGGAAGGTATCTCAGAGCAGTCCAAGAGGAAATTTATTTTGGTTTTTTTGTTTGTTCGTGTGTGTGTGTGTGTGTGTGTGTGTGTGTGTGTGTGTCTGTAAAACAAGAATATTTTATATGTGACTTAACTTTTCACGATAATCACTAATCATTTGCTATCAATAACAAGGCATTCTAGAATCCTGCCCTAGGCAAGCCAGAGGTACTTCAACCCTAGCTGAGAAGCATTGCTTTGCCCAGATTTTTAAAAATATTTTCTTTTATTTTATTTTATTTTATGTGTATGAGTGTTTTGCCTACATATATGTAAGCACACCCGTATCATGAAATGCCTGAGGAGATCAGAAAAAGGCATCAGAGTCCCCTGGAACTGGAGTTCCAGACAGCTGTCAGCTGCCCTGTGGGTTCTAGGAATCGAATCTGAGTCCTCTGTAAGACAGCCAATGCTCTTAAGCCATGTCTCCATCCCCTGTCCAGGTGTTTTTTAATAAGACTTGTTTTAACTTTTTGTTTTTTAGACAGGGTCTCTCACTGTAGTCCCAACTGCCTTGAAACTCACTATGTAGACACGCTGGCCTCAATCTCACAGAGATCCACCTGCCTCTGCCTCCCAAGTGCTGGGATTAAAGATGTGTTCCACCGCATCCAGCTATTGTACCTTTTTAATTAGTGTGTGTTGGGCAGTATGTGCACATGCGTGAAGGTAACCCTAGAAGAAACTGATGGATCTGCTGTGAGCTGCAAGATGTGGGTGCTAGGAACTGAACCCTGATCCTCTGCAAGAGTTGTGTGCTCTCTTAACCACTGAGCCATCTCCAGTCCCCTCCCCATTTTGATCCCACAGTCCTTTCCTAGTCTTCCCACCAACACTTTGAAAGATAACATAAGACTTGCTAGCCATGTATGATCACAGCTAGGGCTAAGTCTGATATATGAGTCAGTCTGATCTAATCACAGTCTCTAACCTCGTACTTTGTGGTCAAACCATTTAACACCAGGATTCTACTTGAACTCTCAAGATTGACCTTGGTAAGTCATTAGATGCCCATTACACTGCCAGCCTCCAGGCCAACTCCCAGGTCCATTATGCTTTGGGGGTTGAGTAAATGGTGTGTCCATGATGCTTTCTCCATAGATTGCTCAGTAGAAAAAACATATCAAAACCACTGCTTATGAATTATAGTATTTCAAGGCATTCAAGAAAATCACATTCCACTGGGAAAACTTAAGTACTTGAGAATAATAAAACGTAAATTACTACAGACAATAATGAGTAATTGTACTTTAGTTTTTTGTTTGTTTGTTTTGTCTGTCTTGAGACAGGATCTCCCTGTAGCCCTAATTGGCTTATAACTCACTTTGTAGACCAGGTTGGCCTCAATCTCACAGAGATCAACCTGCTTCTGCCTCCCTAGTACTGGGATTAAAGGCATGTGCCACCACACCAGGCTTTTGTTAAATATTTTTATAAAAATGATAGCTACTTCTTTGATGCAAATTACTGATTCAGGTAACTTCTTAGAGACCATAGTTCTTTGTGACAAAAATTCATTCTTCAGAACCATGGTCTTACCTTGCTTAGAAATAAGAGATTTTACAAAGAAAATCATTTTTATGTTGAATATCATTTTAATCTAGATTTTTATTTGTTTTTAAATCATTTTTTTTCTGTTCATTTATTCTATCCTAGACTAGAGTTGACTATCCGCTGGTTCCACTTTGCTCTTTCAATATTAATAAGTGTTTCAGGGACTGGAGAGATGTCTCAGCAGTTAAGAACACTGGCTGTCCTGTAGAGGATCTGGGTTCAGTTCCCAGCATCCACATGGCAACTAACAACTGTCTCTAACTCCAGTTCCAGGGAATCAGGCACCCTCCTCTGGCCTCCACAGGAATGACACACACTGGTGCACTTACACACATGCAGGCAAAACATACACATAAAATAAAAATAAATTAATTAATTAAATGTTTCAGGCTTTATTGTTTCTAAACTTGAACTTACTCCTCACCTAGTCTTTGTACTTCTCTAGCAGTTGTTCAGGCTTTGAAAACTCCCCTCTCTCTAATATTACATCAGCTTCCTAGCTGCATCCATTACCTCCTCATCCCAATCTGGAGACTACCAGAATCTATCTTTAAGGGAAACGTCTGTGTCTTTACAGTTGCTAAAGGCCATGTACGATGTGCATGCCCCATCCCACCGCACAGAGGTCATCTACCATATCACCCTAATCCAGCACATGGTATCTTCCCCACATAGTCAACTACAAAAGGTGGAAGAAGAGAGGATCTGGGAACCACAGGGGACAGAGGTGTCCAGAGGAAGGCGCAGGTTAAGAGACAAGCATAGTGTTTCTCTTTAGGCAAGTGGCAGGCTGTAAGGCTTCCTTGCTGCTGTGTGAGCAGATGAAGTGTGCCTTCACCCTGGGGCCTTTGCCAGTGCTGTATCTTCCTTCCCTGGACGTCCTCATCTTGCCTTCATTTGAGTGTCTGCTCACATGTCACCTTAGCACAGCTTTTTCTGTCCCTCCAACCTGTCCCTCCCCTCTTTGACCTTCTTACCTTGCTCTGTCTTTTTAAAAAATTTATTCATTTATTTTTATTTTATGTACACGAGTGTTTTGCCTGCATGTATGTGCAATGCCCACAGAGGCCAGAAGAGGGAGGTGAATTCCCTGGAACTGGAGTTATGAATGGATGGTTGTTAGCTGCCATGTAGGTGCTGAAAACCAAATGTAGGTCTTCTGCAAGAGCAGCTAGTATTCTTAACCGTTGAGCCATCTCTCCAGCCCCTCACCATGCAGTTTTTGTCCATTGTGTTAATTACCAGCTAGATGGTGTATGTTTATGTATGTGTACCTTCTAAATCTGGAGCTAAGGCTTTACGACAACAGCAACATTATTACTCTTTACTGTTCAACACTTGGAGTTGTACTGGAAAGAAACAATTATAAAAAAAAATTGCAAGTGAAATAATTCAGTTTTGTGTGTGTGTGTATTAATTCTCTCTCCTGTCTATTTAACATCAAGTTCTGAATGCTGAATGCAGGGAGTATATGTGCTAGCTAACTCTGAAAATTTCTCCTAGATATGAAAGTTGTGCAAATAGAACATTAAAAAATACCTTTGTATTCCAGGATATGAGCTGGTTTGATGATCATAAAAATACCACTGGCGCATTGACCACCAGGCTTGCCAATGATGCTGCTGACGTTAAAGGGGTACGTGCTTCCTTTTGTGGGTGTCTAACTCCATTTTGAGCCACAGCATGAGACTGATTTTCTCATTACAGATGTTAGTGACTATCATCTTTAAGAAAATGTAAACATTCATCTAACCCATAGGTATACCTCATGTATTTTAACCAAAATGTTAAAATTAAATATTATATATCATATAGTATGTAGATAACATAAGCTTTCTTTTGTTATTGCTGTGTTATTTGCACTATTAATAAGGTTTAAGCAGATTTCTTATTTAGAAAAGGAAAAGCTTTGTGCAGTGATTATTTTGTAGCCAGTGAGTCTTAATCCATGGTGGGATTATTGCTATCAACGGTGTGCCTTTCAGGATCAGTGTAGTCTCATGCTCAGTTAATCAACAGAGAATTATAATTGCTGCTCAAGAGGACTTGTGAACTTCCTGTCAGAATGATTCCGGGCATTACAGTTCAAAGGAGAAGGAAGAAAATCTTCCATAATATGGTTGTAGGAAGTGAAACACATATTAAAAATTATTGCCAAGATAGAAGGAAAAACTTTGGTTTCTCAAATCAGATTTTAATTTCTGGCTGAAGTTATAGTTTATTCTACAACCACCATTCCATGGCAGTAATATACAAGGTGACATGAAACTTGCAGAAATATGTGATTGCTGCCGGGTCTCCCTCATCCCCGAGCCTTTTGTCAATCTTCATATTTCAAACTTCCAGCAAGACATAACACTGCTGATGCTTTCTCAGTCTTTATATGAGAATCTGTTAGAATAGACGATGAATGTAGAAAAATACACAGGAGAGCTGGGAAATGCTTTAAAAATCTTAAGAATTATCATTTTAATGTTGATCTCTTTGTTAAAAATAAGCCAAAAATAAAAATTTACATCAAGTTGTTTAGTATTTTACAGGACAAAATGTACAAACAAGATATCATTATGTACTTTGTACAACAGAGAATGGGGTTTGCCCTCCTACAATCTGCATAGTAGGTCAGACTGTCAAAAAGTTTGAAGGGATAAATGGAGATAACCTGTGGGGCTAGGGGATGCCTAGTTGTGG